TATGTCTTTCCCCTGATTCAGTTGCTGCCACATCTCTTACGCAGGATTTGGGATGAGTCTATTCCAGTGATACTGATTGCCCCGGCCTGGCCCGGGAGTGCCTGATATGCAAACATGGTGAAGATGACAGTAGACAGGCCATGGTCCCTGCCGTGTCGGCCAGACTTGCTGTCTAAAGGTCCTATATTGCACCCAGCTTTACGGTCTCTAAATCTGATGGTATGGCTATTGAAACATAGATCCTAAAGTATAGGAGAGTATCGGATTTTGTCACCCTCATGTCAGGTGCTAGAAAGGTAGTCTCCAGGAACATTTATTTTACGGAACTTAGAAGCTTACATTTCCTGGTGTATGTTCTGGAAATGGCACCCACGAAAGTATGTGATTGGTAGGATTCTGTAATTTCTTCAAACAGGGTTGTAGAAGAAATTGGCTGTTGGTACCATTAAGGGCCAAGTTTCAGCATTAGCTGTTCTTTTCCAGACCCATTGCGTCTCACTCTTTGGATCGCACCTTTTTACGGGGAGTATTGCGTATTGCTCCTCCTGTCAGGTTGACTTTTTGTTCTTGGGACCTGAACTTGGTTTTGGAGGTTTTGCAAAAACCACCATTTGAACCTATTAGAGAGATTCCACTGGTCTTGTTGACACGTAAGGTTTTGTTTCTAGTGAAAATCACTTCTGTAAGAAGGGTGTTGGAGCTGGCAGCCCTTTCTTGCAGAGAACCATTTCTGGGTTTGCATCATGATAACGTGGTGGTGCGACCTCAACCGACTTTTACCAAAGGTGGTTTCTAGTTTTCATCTCAATCAGGACATCATTCTGCATTCATTCTTTCCTAGGCCTTAGTCAGCAAGAGAAAGATCTCTGCATACCTTGGATGTGGTACGTACAGTGGGGATCGAAAGTTTGGGCACCCCAGCTAAAAATTTGTATTAATGTGCATAACGAAGCCAAGGAAAGATGGAAAAATCTCCAAAAGGCATCAAATTACAGATTAGACATTCTTATAATATGTCAACAAAAGTTAGATTTTATTTCCATCATTTACACTTTCAAAATAACACAAAACAAAAAAATGGCGTCTGCAAAAGTTTGGGCACCCTGCAGAGTTAATATCTTGTACTGCCCCCTTTGGCAAGTATCACAGCTTGTAAACGCTTTTTGTAGCCAGCCAAGACTCTTTCAATTCTTGTTTGAGGTATCTTTGCCCATTCTTCCTTACAAAAGTCTTCCAGTTCTTTGAGATTTCTGGGCTGTCTGTCAGCACTGCTCTTTTAAGGTCTATCCATAGATTTCCAATTATGTTGAGGTCAGGAGATTGTGAAGGCCATGGCAAAACCTTCAGTTTACGCCTCTTGATGTAATCCCCCGTGGATTTCGAGGTGTGTTTAGGATCATTATCCATTTGTAGAAGCCATCCTCTCTTTAACTTCAGCTTTTTCACAGATGGCATCAAGTTACCATCCAAAATTTGCTGAAATTTTATTGAATCCATTTTTCCTTCTACTCGTGCGATGTTCCCTGTGCCACTGGCTGCAACACAACCCCAAAGCATGATTGATCCAACCCCATGCTTAACAGTTGGACAGAGGTTCTTTTCATTAAATTCTGTGCCCCTTCTTCTCCAAACGTACCTTTGCTCATTCCGGCCAAAAAGTTAAATTTTAACCTCATCGGTCCACAGAACTTGTTTCCAAAATGCATCAGGCTTGTCTATATGTTCATTTGCAAAGTTCAAACGATGATTTTTGTGGTGAGGACGTAGAAGAGGTTTTCTTCTGATGACTCTTCCATGAAGACCATATTTGTACAAGTATCTCTTTATAGTGGAATAGTGTACCACAACTCCAGTGTCTGCCAGATCTTTCTGGAGGGATCGTGCAGTCAAACGTGGGTTTTGAATTGTTTTTCTCACAATCCTGCGAGCTGTTTTGTCTGATATTTTTCTTGGTCTTCCAGATCTTGCTTTAACTTCCACTGTTCCTGATGACTGCCATTTCTTAATTCCATTCCGAAAAGAGGATATTGACATCTGAAAACGCTTTGCTATCTTCTTATAGCCTTCTCCAGCTTTGTGAGCGTCAACTATTTTCAGTTTTCTAGACAACTGCTTAGAAGAACCCATGGTGCTGATTGTTGGGGCAAGGTCAGATGAGTCTGGGCATTTAAAACCTTTGAGATTGACATCACCTGGTCTTCCCAGACGATGATTGAGAACAATCCATGACACTGGCAGGTTTCAGCTTTGCAAAGGGGGCAGTGCATGCTATAAATTCTGCAGGGTGCCCAAACTTTTGCAGACGCCATTTTTTTGTTTTGTGTTATTTTGAAAGTGTAAATGATGAAAATAAAATCTAACTTTTGTTGACATATTATAAGAATGTCTAATCTGTAATTTGATGCCTTTTGGAGATTTTTCCATCTTTCCTTGGCTTCTTTATGCACATTAATACAAATTTTTAGCTGAAGTGCCCAAACTTTCGATCCCCACTGTACTGTAAGGATCTTCTTGAAGTTGATGGCACAGGTCAGATGCTCTTTTGGAGCCTAGGCAGGGGCAGACTGCATCCAAGGTGACTATTTCACATTGGCTCCACCAATTGCTCGTTTAAGCCTATGGTTTGAAAGGCAAGGTCCCTCCCTTTCTGGCGAAGGCACACTCTACCAGGAATGTGGGGGCATCTTGGGCAATCCGCCATCAGGTGTCAGTGGCTTAGTTTTGCAGGGCCGCTACATTTTCTTTGGTTCACACATTCACAAGGTTCTACCAGGTGGATGACAGATTTGCAGAGAGAGGATTCTGCCTTTGGCCGGAGCGGTTTATGGATGGCTGAGTAGGTCCTGAGGGATTGATGTGGCTATCATGGTGTTACCCCCCTCATATTTCTTTATTGCTTTAGGACATTCCACATAATCATGAATAGCCTGCTCTGTGATGTGCGATAAAACTGGATTTTTTTTCTACATAGGAACCTGTATAATCTATTTCTTGGAGTATCAAAAAATGTGGAGGCCTAGCTAGCGCACACGTAAGCAGCTAAATGCACTGATAAAAGGAATCACAAAACCTTTCAATAGCAAGCAAAACAAAGCAATAAAGTGCAGCGCTAAAGTAATAAAAAACGAATGAATACAGTCTTAGGTGGACAAGCTCTTTAATAAATATAGGGAGTGCTGATGTGACAGTTCTGTTATGAAATCCAATGCGGTGTCCAGTGAAAGAATGGTAAGATTGTCTACTAACCAGAAGCGCAATCAATATGCGCATATAGGAATCCAAGACCAGCTGGAAGTCTGAAGTGGGAACAAGCCAGGTGGAATGTTGATGTCCTCCAGGGGGTCCCTCAATCAAATAATGGGTACTGGTCTGGTCTGTCACCTCTCTCCTCTGGTAGGAATGGAACACCAGGGGGTCCCTCAATCCTGTGGTGGGTGCAGATCTGGTCTATCACCTCCCTCCTCTGGTCCGAATGGGACGTCTTGTCTTTCGGTTGAATAAATACATTCAACACGTGCAGCACCCCACACAGCTCTAAATATCCGCCATACCACTCGAAGGCCCGCTCCCCCCTGCGCCGGAAGAACTGCTCCCAGTACTCGCAGACCAGACCAGTACCCATTATTTGATTGAGGGACCCCCTGGAGGACATCAACATTCCATCTGGCTGTTCCCACTTCAGACTTCCAGCTGGTCTTGGATTCCTATATGCGCATATTGATTGCGCTTCTGGTTAGTAGGCAATCTTACCATTCTTTCACTGGACACCGCATTGGATTTCATACCAGAACTGTCACATCAGCACTCCTTATATTTATTAAGGAGCTTGTCTACCTAAGACTGTATTCATTAGTTTTTTATTACTTTAGCGCTGCACTTTATTTCTGTGTATTTCTTGGAGTACTTCACGGGACACAGAGGTCCTGCTCCTCTTTCTGGAATTTCATTGCTTGCTACAAAAACTGAGGTACTTCCTTTGTAGGAGAAGGTTATATAGGGGAGGATCTTCTCTCTGATTGGTCGGCCAGTGTCCATTCACTTATAGATGGCATATAACCCACATAGTCATGAATAGTCTTCTCTGTGTCCTGTGATGTACTCCAAGAAATGGATTTTACAGACAAGTATGTAGAAAAAAATCCAGTTTTTGTTGGAAAAAAAAAATCCCCTCTGGGTGATCTATGTTCATTGAAGGATTTTGACAAACTTTGTTGTTGATTCCTATCTTTTGTTGTTAGTGCAATATGAAAAAAAAAAAAGAAAAATTTTCATAAAAAATTCAAAAAAATTTTTTTTTTCGTACGGTCACCAGTGTCCCTGATTACGGCCACATCAGTTATATGATGATGCTGTACTGCACTGGTGACACTGTAAAAAAAAAAAAAAAAGTGTCAATTTTGTTTTTTTTTTAATGTCCCCGTTTTCCAAAAAATTATGACAAAAAAATTACAACTTCAAAAAACTCGCCATGCCTCTTATGAAATACGTCGGACTGTCTGCTTTGCAAAAAGGGGTCATTTGGAGGATCTCTGTACTGTTCTGACATTCTTGGACCTCAAGAAATTAGATTGGCTGTCAGTACTTCAGGGTTGATCAATTTTCAGATATATCCCATAGTTTGTGAGCTCTATAACTTTCCTACAGACTAAATAATCAATACTGATTTGGGTTATTTTCACCAAAGAAATGTAGCAGAATACATCTTGGCCTAAATTTTATAAAGAACAATTATTTATTTGCAAACTTTTATAACAGGAACAAAGAAAAACTAGGTTTTTTTTTTTCAAAATTTTCGGTTTTTTGTTAATTTAGTAAAAAATAAAAACACCAACAGTGATTAAATACCACCAAAAGAAAGCTCTAGTTGTTGCATGACCACGCAGTTGTCATTCAAAGTGTGAGAGCGCTGAAACCTGAAAATTGGCCTGGGCAGAAAGGGGGTAAAAGTGGCCAGTATTTAAGTGGTTAAGTAGTGATCATAAATATTTTGTATTTTTAAGGAGCAAGGCTTGTCTGGCAAACATGATCCCCCTTCCTCTCCCCTGTCGGGGCATCAAGGTGAGGACCAGGAAGCATCCCCCTCCAAACTCTCTAAGGAAGAACTGATACAGAGTATGGATCGGGTGGACCGTGAGATTGCAAAAGTTGAACAACAAATTTTGAAGTTAAAGAAAAAACAGGTATGACATTGTTGAATACTCTTTTGTTCTAACACAGTGAAGTAATAAAGACAGGAGCACAGTCAGTGACCCATTGCTTCCACAAAGTAAAATTTGTTTAGTTGACCTTGTTCTTAAAACTGCTTTTAATAACTTTTATCTGTGTTTTCCCCAATCTGGTTGCTGTCCCATGTAAGGTACAGTCTCCTGCCACAGCCTCACATGGCTTAGGGAGTGGCCTGAGCAAGCAGATGTTGCCACAGGTTCCTTTGGCACATCCTTGAATACGTCTAAGCACTGGAACTGCCACAATTATGGTCGGTTAGTGAAGGCATCACTCTTATACATGGAAAAGTAATGCTTAGTCCAAGCTTACTTTTCCACCAGTCAACCTGGGATTTAAGAAATAACCTGTGATTAATTTAGAAATAGAGGATCACTTGAAGAGGAAATTGAATCTGATGCCACTTGCCCTCATAAATGACTTAGTATTCCCTAATAGTTCTGATGGTAAAACTAGAGCTTGCAGCTGCTGGTTTACCAGATGTTTCTTGCCCCTGGTGAGGGTTGTGCAGAGCTTACACCACCCAATCAAAGTGTCTGAGGGGTGTGTTGTAGGTCTGCAGTAGTGTTTTATTATGCCTAACAGACACATTCCTAATCCTAACTATCTGAGTACATCTATTTTGCTAAGGTCTAACAATCTAAAAACCAGCATATGGCTTATCATGGTGAAATTGTGATTTCTTAGATCTCAAATATATATCTTCCTCTTAGGAGGTCTAAAGTGTCTTTTTATCCATCTGGGCTTTGTACTCTAGGCATGTTTGGTATCTGGGTGGTATATTCTGTTAATGTAGCCACTTTTTCAGGGGCTATCTTCATTATCATAGGATAATTTGAAATCTAATTACATTTAACTTTGTGGATTTCAGTTATAGATCAATATGGGTCACTACCCCAACCTCACAGATGTATATTTTTTTAAACTGCACTCCAGTCCATTAACCACTTGACCACTTATGACCGGGCCTCATCACTAGATCTTTTAAGACCAATAACCTTACACTTTCGCCCCGGTTCATACCCTAGCTGTTTTTTTTTTGGCCAGGTACACTATAAGGCATAGTTTACACTGGCTTAAAGCAGTATTACACCCAAAAGCAAACATTGCATTGCAGTTTATGGATTCTTAGATTTGATGGCTTCATTAGTTTTATTTTATTTTTAAGACTTTCTTCAATTTTTCATCTGGTTATCCACCCAGTAAGTCTGTTGTTTTTCAAAAGAGCAAGCTCTCCAGCAGATGTATCAGTTTACAGGGGTGAGACAAACCATTTACCACTGGCAAGGGTACTTACAATGATCAACTTTTATTTATGTAAAACCTTTATCCCAAAAGGAAAAAACTGCTTGTAAAGTGTTTGCTGGGGTTTGGCTTCAACTTGTTAGATTTAGTTACAGATTTTAATACAAAAACTACACCCCCCTGATGTTTTCAGCAAGCTTCCAGCAGGTTTTTGAAGCCTTTAAAGCACCCTTCAGTTCAAGATTAGAAATGGTAAACAGATTTTAATGGTAGTCCTGTCACTTTAAAAAAAAAAAAAAAGCTGCTATCAGACTTTAGCAGGCTTTCAGTGTTGGTGCCATTCTGTGTTTACCATGCTCAAAATAGAGCTAAATGATAATTTAAATCCCAACTCTGTGGTTAAAGGCTTATTAGGTCTAGTGGTGTGTGAACAAGGTGTGATCCCCCCATATCTCTAGCTCCAGCAGGTCCTTCCAGTGCACACAGCTGCCTCCTCCACATACAATGTAGGGTTAGTAGCCCTCCATTGTATGGGATGTTTCAGCGGGCCGCCTACATCCTGCAGCTCCAGAGCGGGGAGCCTGTAAGTTGCTCTCTGTTGGTCTTTTCTTTCAAATCCTGCCACAGATATCAAAAGATCTCCCACTGATGTAATTCTAGGCAGTAGTGCCACTGTAGATGACATTTTAACAAATAGCACCCAATTGACAAAGTGTTGTCTGCATTGCCCCAGACCCTCTAATGCGTTTCAAACTACAAGCTTCAGCAGAAGTTCAGATTTGAATCTAGTAGGCTGTTTTGAGGAAGTAGAGTGTTCTGATGAAAAACACTTACATAATGACGCCAAGCAATGGACCTTTTTGAGAACCAGGCTACTCTGGGAACTTTGCAGTGTGGCTTCAGTCTTTAGAGTTCATTCTTCCAACCAAACTAAATTTCTGCTTTTGAATGGATTGCTCTTTCAGTTGGAAGATGACTTTGATTACAAAACACATTGCAAATTAATTGAATTACTCCGAACCCTGCAATCCTGTATACTACCAAAATGCTAGAATCCAAACTGTTGCTTTGCGATTTCTATCTGATTAGAAGCTGATTGGAGTTCCAGTGTGTGATTTTTTTTTTTTTCCCCTCTTGTGTAACTTAGCAACAGCTTGAAGAAGAAGCAGCCAAACCTCCAGAGCCCGAGAAGCCCGTCTCCCCTCCACCTGTGGAACAGAAACATCGCAGCATAGTCCAAATTATTTATGATGAAAACCGGGTAAGTGGCTTTGTTTCTTCTAAGGCATAACCTTGTTGCTTTGCTGATGAGTCATTAAGGCGGTTACCTCAATGATGGGTAGGTTGGCTCTGGCAGACCTCATTTTACATGAATCCCTTCTTATACACAAATAGCACACTTTTTTTTTTCCTCTCCAAAGTAGTGTTTTGGGGTTTTTTGTGCATTAGATACAGGTGGATATTGATCATGAAATGAAATATCATTGAGATTTGGTTTCTAGTAGAGGTAATAGTTCTGATCTTATAAGTTTGACTTTTTGTAAAGAGGTTGCACTACCCCATTGAATAATCTTGTTAGTTTTGCATATCTTTTAGTAGACTACTGTTGTACTCTAGTGGACTGTGATTGATTAATAATACCGTAATATTCAGTGTATATATATGTTTTCTTCTTGAAGCAGTTTAACAATTCAACATTGGTTGGGACAAACTATACCACTTGTGGGGGGGGGGGGGTGCCGGAAGGCGCTTAGGCCATTGCCACAACTTTTTTTTTTTTTTTTTTTTTTTTTTTTTTCTTGTAATGTAAAGCACTGCTGGCAGTGTAATAGAATGCCCCTGCTATTGTTACTTTTGGGTAACGGATTTCTCTTCATGTTCCGTAAATGTGGAGATAAAGTGATATTAAAGTAATTCTAAAGGTTGTAATTTGTTTAAAAAAAAGAAGTTATACTTACCTGCTCTGTGCAATGGCTTTGCACAGAGCAGCCCCGATCCTCTTCTTTTTGGCTTCTCCCGCATGCTGAGCGCCCCTCAATAGCAAGCCTCTTGCTATGGGGGCACTCAAGCAAGCGCATTCCCAACCCGTGGTCTTGTTAAGGGGCATTGTCTATTCTCACATTCGCGCGCTCTCTCTCACACGCACACACAGTGTGGCTTGGATCCGTCCCCGCTCTTTCCTCATTGGCTAACTGGCTGTGATTGAGAGCAGTAGGAGCCAGTGACTGCTGCTGCTGTGTGAGCCAAAGAGAGAGCGAGAGAGACCCAGGAGAGCTGTGGCTCTCGTGCACATTGCTGGATCAAGATGGGGCTTAGGAAAGTATTGGGGGCGGGTTGAGAAAGGGAGCTGCACCCATAAGGTTTTTTTACCCTAATGCATAGAATGCATAAAGGTAAAAATCACTTGCCTTTGGAACCACAAAATATGAGGGAGGGATGTTTACCCAACTGTACTTCCTGTTTTTCTTTGGAGCTCCGCCTGTCTGTTAAAGCCCCAGCCCCCTGACTCTATCAGCAAGCTGCATTGACTGAGAAACGCAGGCTCTCTCTGCCTTTGCCAGGGAGTTCTGGAACAATGCCCTGCAAACCACAGGATAAGAACTCTGTCCTGATGTGGTAAATGTTTCCCCTCCTAGCACGGGAGCAGTGCTTAGCACTTTGTAAAATAACAGCCTCCCCAGACTGTCCAATTCTCGGCCCTGTGAACTCCCTCTCTCCCATTTACTTCCCCATCCCCATTTTCAGCCTAAATCTGTGTCTGTAGTGCATGTTCAAACCTTAATACCATAAATAATTTGTTAGATTTTTTTTTTTTTTCTCCTGGGTATAATAAGTTTGGAAATTGTTGAGAAATGCTTAAATAATGTATTACAATTTAACTAAACCTATTAGATATTAGTAGACTAAAATGTACTAGAGATTTTGGATGACTAAAATACAGGCTAAAACTTAAATGATTCAGATGGCTAAAATATGGCTAAAACTAAAATGGCATTTTAGTCAAAAGACTGACTAAATCGAATTTTGACGTCATAAGTAACACTGGTTACAAGCCTCACAGGGCAAGCTTGAGAGATACAGAACCAAAGCTGCAACTCTCCCCCTTCACAGCGGTGAATAACAGTGGCTCTCAAGCTTTGTTCTATGTATGTCGCACTGCTTGTGTGGAGGTGTGAGTAGTTCCAGTTAAGCTTGTAGTTCTAAGTAGGAATGCATGTGAAGTGGAGACTCCAGCAGGTCTCTGTCAGTCACAGGGGGCGCCCACATACCTGAAGTCTGACTTCAGGGACATGGGCCTTAAACTAAAGGCATGTGAAATCTAGTAAATGATAGACCGCACACTATCTGTGTTAATCACGTAAATACCAGAAAACAATATTTTTTTTTTATGCGTGCACCTTTTTAGAACACACAAGTAAAATGTATTCTGTCAGTGTGTAATTTGTCCCACCCGGGTCACAGTCATTTTTTCAAGCTGTTTTGGTCGTTTATAGTACTGAAAAATATACAAGTAAATTGTTTATACCCAGCCATACCTGTAGAATAAGACCATGTGTGCTCTCCTTCCCTGCTGTCCTTGCTGCAGAAACCCCTTCTGATGCTTGGAAATCTGCTAAAATAAGAAGGAAAACTGACTCTTACCTCCTGGTTCCCCCGCAGTTCCCAGATTCCTCCTGCTCACCTCCACCCATTACAATGATGTGGAGTTCAGCTGGAGGAACCATTGAGTGCTGTGAGGGACCATGGAGATGGACACCCCAGGAAGAGTTGATTTGCAGTGCCCACTCAGCAGACTATTTCGCAGCCTAAGGGTGAGATTCTACACCACGGGCAGCAGGAAAGGGGAGTATGTATTGTCATCTTTTACAGCTATGACTGGGTTTAAACCATTTGCTATAGCAACCGGGTCCATTTTAAGGCATGTACAAGAAGAAAAAAAAAATATACATTGTGTTTCAACTGCATGCTGAGTGCAATACTTTTTGTGATAGTGGTTCTACAAGAAACATGAATATAAAGAATGTTTTGACCTATAGCAAGTTTCCAGATTTCAGTTAAGTGATGCTGAAATTTGTGACAAACTGGTTTCTGTGGGTTGCTGCATGATTGACTGGTATGAAAATTATTAGAGTAGGGAAAGGGGCACCACAGCAAAATATCCCTGAGAGGAACAGGGGAAACAATTTTTTCTTTAAACTTTCAGCCCGGTTTTTCAAGCAACTATGTGGTTATTAGTGTAGTCTCATAAGAAACAGGCTTACCTACCTCTACCTAGGTCAAGGGTGAGAAAACATTTTTAGAAGGCAAGTTTTTAGCATCCAACCACCACATAATCTGTGGATATATTCAGCCAATACATTAGTTTTTCTAGCTTCTGCATATTCCACACCTGATGGATGCTTTATCATTTAATTAAAATCAATATATTGACATACAAATGATTAACACTAGATGCACATCACTGTCCTGTTCTGCAGGTTTTTCAACGTATTAATTATGAGTCTCTATTTAGAAATCTGAGGAAGTCCTCATTAACCCCAGAGATTGTATTAGGTTGCTATGGGTTATGGTACATTGTTTCTTGCTTTGTGTAATTAAATACCTCTAATGGATGCTGCTAACATCTAAACTGTCAGCATAGCCCCAGGGTGATTTCAGAAGAACAGAACTTTCTAAGAAAATTGGTTACTGCTTTTGCAATTCCCATGGCTTTAGCTGTTGTATGTGGAAGAATAAAGCCACCTACTCCCCAGTATTTGAATCTTGGGTACAAATACACACCTGTACTCTGACTAGATAAGGTTATAAAAATGCTCTGTATAAAAGATCCTACAAATCCATAGAAACAGAATGTAAATTACCGCCCGAATGTTAATTATATGAATACCAAAAATCAAACAAATCCCCTTCCTGCATCCCATATACAACATTTATTGTGCAAAGTTTTCGAAACTATGGCACAATTCCATTAAATTGCATGGCACTAAAGGTTTGTTGCCCCCCCACTTAGCTGCTCTGTGCAGTGGTTCTGCACAGAGCAGCCCCGATTCCTCTTCTTTTGGGGCCCCATCGGTGCCCCTGGCTCCTCCCACTCGAGCAGTGCCCCCCTGGCAAGCCGCTTGCCCTGGGGGCACCTCTGCATGCTCGTCCCTATGCTGCTGCTCTGAGTCCACTAGAGAGACAGAGCTGTGGCTCAGCCCCACCCCCCCGCTCTCTCCTTATTGGTTCATTGGCTATGATTGACAGCGGTGGGAGCCAGTGGGCTCCTGCTACTGTTTCAGCCAGTGAGGAGGAAAAGTCACTAGACAGTAGAGGCAGTCAAGAACGTCGCTGGATCTGAGGGGGCTCAGATAAGGATTTGGGGGGGATACACAAAGTTTTTTACCTTCATGCATAGAATGGTTATCTGATGTAGAATTATTCCAAAATGGAAATAATTAGATCTTGTTTTTACCACAGTCTGGCCCCTCTAAAGTCTGAAGGACAGTAAACTGGCCATTTTTGTTTAGAAAGTTTACTGACCCCTGATATAGATCATTGACATGTTCTTGTGAAAGTTTTAAAAGATGGCTTTATATTCAAAGGCAAATAGACTGTGTACTCTGCAAGTGCAGTCACACTCCTTTACAAACAAACATACTAGCAAATTATCACACTTTCTAAGGAAAAGAACACCCATTCAGGTGCAAGGAAAAAAAAAAGTAGAATTTTTTGCTTGCACATGATTGGATGACGGAAAGCAGAAGAGCTTTTACCACATTTACGAAGCTCTGGGGAAAATTAGTGCAGCTGCACTTGCAGAGAGCACAATCTATTTCCCTTTAGTAAACCCCCCCCCCCCCCCCCAATATGTTTATCAAATGCAATACGCTATGGATTAAAATATTTGAGAAATTCAATCATTCTTCCTCCACTATAGAAATCAATCCAGTACTGTAGTATTGATGATTGGACAGGTGGAGATTGTGACATTCATGCACACATTGTCCACATTGTCCAGTCACAGAACACATATTTCTTGAAAAGCGTACAAGAAGTTTTATGAATGGAGGAGCTGCTGAACGCGTGACTCACTGTGCTCATGGCCTGCGTCTTGGTTTCAGCAGTGGAAGTTGGCACTTATGTCACTGTTAGGGGGTGCATGTTTCATTGGTGGAGCACACATCATCAAAGGTACATTATTTGATCCTAGCTAGTTCCCCAGTATTGTTTTTGCCTGAAGTTCACTTTTCAAGTGTATGTATGGTGGATTAGGGATATTTAGCTGTGTTATTCTGGGCAGCAGGAACCTAAAGGTGCCAGACCATGTGTTACATTTTACAGATATTGTTCCTTTTTGTAAGGGCCTGCAATCTGATGGGTAGCCTCACCTACTAATTGTGCACCTGCAGATGTTCAGGCTACTGGGATGCTTTGCAAACAAAGTGTGATTTGAGTGTGGGCAAGGACACAGGGGCCCCATGATCCCCTATTGCCCGGGGGGCCCCATGAGTTGTCAGTCCGCCCCTGTGTGTGCAAGATACATGGAGAATCCAGTGCCAGAAAACAGGAGCTGGTGTAAAGAGAAACTTCTCCTTTATAATTTAGTATTACAACAAGGGCACATGTTAGAAACAATTATGAACAGATGACCTCTATACTTTCTGGTGCTATGTATCTTTCTCCTGGAACATATGGTTGCAAACCTCCCAGAATGCACCTGTGATGCCCTGAATAAATCACCAGTGCCTCTAAAAATCAGGAATTGGGGAAGAAAAGTCGTAAGTAGAAGCAAAAAAATGTTTGGCTATAATGAATTAATATCGGCGTGCAGAGCTGTAGGCAGATGTCATTTTTAGGGAAAAGTGCACTTTAAGTTACCGTTGTCATGTGATTAACACAATCTTGTTTTTGAAGTAAATATGATGTAAAAACCCTCCATTATTAGACTAGTAACTGCTGTGAGAACTCATTGGGTCTAAGTTTTCAATTTTCTTGCACAGTAAGACAATGCTGAACAGGAGCAGTGAGACAAGAGTACTGTATATGACAGACTTACTACAGGGTTACAGCAAGAGTCATGCGCAATGCAGCACTACCCTGACTACTTGTTAATTATTGCACATAAAAATCTGTCTCCTCTTCATTAGTAAATCTATTGCAAATCTGACGCAGTTGAAAAACTGGAATTTTTTTTTTTTTCTTTAACCACTTACCCTCTAGAGCATTTACCCCCCTTCCTGACCAGGCCATTTTTTGCAAAATGGCGCTGCTTTACTTTAACTGAAAATTGCGCGGTCATGCAACGCTGTACATAAATTAAATTTATGTCCTTTTTTCCCTAAAAATAGAACTTTGTTTTGGTGGTATTTGATCACCTGTGCAGGGTTTTTTTTTTTTTTTTAAATTTTTGCACTATAAAAAAAAAAAACTGACAAAAAAAAAAAAAACTGTATTTTTGACTTTTTGCTATAAAACATTCAGAATTAAAAATGTTTTTCATTTCTTCATAAACTTATGCCAAAATGTATTCTGCTATAAGTCTGCTAAAAAAAAAAAAAAAAAAAAGAAAAATCCCAATATGTGTATATTAAAGCATAGCTCCACCCAAAAGGGGAAGTTCTGCTTTAAAGACTGGTCGTCCCCCCACTCCCTATTAAGGATTGGCACTTTTGGAGAGTGGATACCCGAACTTGATGGGTACCCGAAATTGACAGGTACCCGCTTCCTCTGTGATTGCCTAGGCAATCGGAAGTGGAAGTTGTCCTCCTACCTTCCCTTCCCGTAGTTTTCTGCGACATGTGACAAGTCCCAGAAGACTACGGGGCCATTCAGGAAGCGCAGCGCTACTCGCGCATGCGCAGTGGGCTGACAGCTTGCAGCTTCACAGCCGGGTGCCCACACTGAAGATGCCGGCACCTGGAACACCAGATGGCTGCTGAAATGGGCTGCGGGGAGGACATTGCAAGATCGTGGGACAGGTGAGTGGCTGTTTTTTAAAAGTCATCAGCTTTTATTTTTTGACAGTGTTAGTGGAACTCCGCTTTAATTGGTTTAAGCGAAAGTTATAGCGTCTACAAATGGCAGTATATACTGGAATTTTTAATTATTTATTTATACTAGTAATGGCGGTGATCAGCGACTTATAGCAGGACTGCGGCGGGCATCCTGACAATAGGTGGGAACTGACATCCCAATGACAATAATACAGTGGTCAGTGCTAATAAAAAGCACTGACACAGTACTAATGACACTGAGCAGGAATGAGTTAACATCTGCGGCGATCAAAGGCATAACAGTGTGCTGTGTGTTGTTTTACAAGGAAACCTGCTGTTCAGAGAAATACACAGCAGCATGTCCTTGCTGGCAGGACAAGGGATGGGCCCATCAGTTCTACATGGCAATCACCGGGTGTCTGTGGGGAATCTCTGGCCAGCACCTGGTGATTGACATCCCTAGCTGCCAATGGTGGCACAGGTAGGGCAGCGCGCCCCCCCCATCGAGAAATGCAAATCACGTGTGTGAGTGTGTGTATATATGTGTGTGCGTGATGTTGCGCAGCCCTGCCTCCCTGTAGCAGTAGTTCTACTATAAGGCCGAGGGAAAGCAGTTAAGGTTTACTTCGGAAACCTTCAAATTTTACCTTGCAGTGGGGCTGTGATCCTCCCCTCCTCTGTGCTGCTAGACCAGTTCCTGCAGTGTCTTTAACCCCATGATCCAGTGGTCTAAAGTCCTGACACCATCAAGACGAATACTGGGTCCCTAGCCCTGATGACGTGATGCCACTGAGAAAATGTACACCACTAGCGCATTGGGGTGGGAGTGCTGCCTGCCAGGGAAGCCAAGGATCAGCTAAATACAATCTCTCCTCCCCTTCCCTAGTCAAAACAAACAGTTGACCCTTGCAGTGTGGATACAGCCCCACTGCATGGAATAATATTAGTTACCTGTAATTGGGCTTTAAGTTTGCCGCCATCATTAATAAAGAATATTTGTACAAAACCATTAAATATTGCATTAAAGCCCTTTTTTTTTTTTTTTTTTTTTTTTTTTTAAAACAACAAATGTCCTACTTACCTGCTCTGTGCAGTGGTTTGTACAGAGCAGACCCGATCCTCCTCTTCTTGGGTCCCCCACTGGCACTCCTGGCCACTCCCTCCTGCCTAATGCTGAGCTGCTGCTCTGTGTCCATTCACATACGGAATGCAGCTTGTCCCTGCCCCCACTCTCTCCTCATTGGCTATGATTGACAGTAGCAGAAGCCAATGACTGCTGCTGCTGTTTCAGCCAATGAGGAGAGAGAGACCCGTAAAATGCTTGAAGGTAAAAAAATAGAAAACCTTGAACCTTTACAACCACTTTTAGTCTCATGCACATGGAGTGTTAAAACACCACTTTTAGGAGCATTTCACTTTTTTTTTTCCTACCTTTAAGCGCCCCCAATACACACATGGGTGTTTAGTGGCAGAACAAAACCCCCATTGCCGGGTGTGTTCAAGAGCAGCAGAGTTTTAACAGAAAGCTTGACAAACCTAAACGTGCTTTATTGCTAGGCGTGTTGAGCGCTTGAGCATTAATTTTAATGGAAGGAATAAATTATTATTCTGGCCAATGAAATGAACACTCAAGCTTGACACTCATATATGTGTTAACAAAAATGCGGCTTTAGGGGCATTCTTGATGCTTTTTTTTTTTCTCCTTTTCAATCTGTATTGCTGACATTTTCTGTAAAATACAATATGGCTACCTGGAGGTGTTCTGTACACAGAATGTGTACAGAACGCCATCAGCAACGTCATTTGCTGCTTGTGAGATTTGGCTCACTGTTTTTCCCAGAAGTCTGTATTAACATACAAGCCAGATTTCAGGCATCCCCTGCAACAGAAATTTCATTTTTAGTGAGATACTCCCAATAGGAAATCACGTCTAAAGGGATGCAGACCCTGCAATTTCCTCATTAGGCCCTGCAGATGCAGCAGCTGATAGATAATTATGAAACCACTCATTAGATTCACTTTCCACATGGACACAAACAGCTCTTTCTTCAGAATAACAAAAGGTAGGGATCTGCAACAAAGTTTGTTAAAATCCTTGCGGCGTATAAAGATCACCGAGGTCTCTTTAAAGGACTTTGCATTAGGCAATGTTTCTGTTTTCCATTTCTAAGACTCAAGTATCTGTGATTACCCATCAGACTATGTTTTTATTCTGTTTTAGATAGTCTAGATGCAACCTTTACATGACCTCAGTGGTTGAGATGGTGTAGAGGAAGGCCTTGGAAAAAAAAGAACATTAGATGGTTTTTATCTGTGCCGATGTAAACACAAAACATCTCTGTTTTGCAGAAAAAAGCAGAGGAAGCACACAAAATTCTAGAAGGTCTGGGTCCTAAAGTGGAACTGGTAAGTAGATTTTTTTTTTTTTTTTTGTGAGCATGTGAACGATTATTTTTAAATCTTCATATGTCTTGCTGAAATCTTTTTGCCTGATATGGATTCCCATTGATTCATATGATGGTCCCTGGAGTGACCTTTCCTATTATCCACTGCATTGAAGAAGATAGGTTTTAAACACATGGGAGCAAAATACTGGAATTTTCCTTCATAGTTAACCACATAAAGCCTTACTGTTGTAAACTGAAACTTTACATCGCTACTAGGGTGCACAAGGCAAAGTGACCCAGTAGCTGCGTAGCAGCATCTTCTACAGCCAAGTAGTTAATCCTAACCACCTACCTGGTATTGCCACAGTACAGCTCCCAAACATGCTGTGGAACTGTTGACTTTTCTGAAAGTCACAATTTGCACATGACATTGGAAAGGAAAGCAGTAGTAAAGGAACTGTGTGGCACCAGAGGGCTCCCGCTATGGCAAATTGATTTTTAAGCACACTTAAAACTGGTATCTTCTTTCTGAATTGATATCCTTCAATTAAATTAACCATTTACTTATTGTACAAGTTCTGGATTACTGCTGTAAGATCTGTGTTCCCAGGTGTTTTTCCAGTCTGAATGCTGATGTTATAGCCAAAGTTTGGGTAAAAATTTGGAAAAAAATCAACACAATGAACAGTACTTAACTTAATCCTAAGGGTCTCTTAGCCAGCTGTCATAGTTGAAATTCACTGTCCTCTGCCCCCTCCTATAACTCTCAGACATGATCTTCTGGTGCTCCTGGGTTTAATAGCACTGAGGGACATGTCACAGGCACTCTTCAAGAATGCCAACTATGCCTGGCCTTTCTGCTCTCCTCCATTTATATGGGTTCTCACAATGAAAAGCACTTTATGAATGGAGGAGGCAAGCATTTAATTCATTCACCCGTTCTCAATTCATTGATGGCCTTTTATTCATAATGAGTGCCTGTGACAGGTCCCTTAGCTCTATCAACCTCCACAGCACTGGAAGATTACAACTGTGGGGTATTGGAGGGGGGGCAGAGGACTTAGGACAGCTGCCACCAGATCAAAGGACACTCCAGTGTAAATGTAAGTACTGACCCTTGTGCTGAGTTTTGTTTTTTTTTTACCTAATCTTAGGCATTACATTTATTTCGCTTTAGGTGGGAACATTTAAAACCCATTTACACTAAAGTGCAGCATTTCGGTGTGTTAACGCCCATTTGTGCACGTTTGTGTGCCATATGGCTGCAGACGCATTACAATGAAGGAAAAAAGTGCATATTCCTTTCTTTTCAAAACGTGCATTGTGGTGAGCTGTGGTGCGTTGTGGGATTCACTCTACTATACAATGTGTCCCGGTGTCATTCACAATTAATGGCACTACAACACACCACACATAGAACAGGTACATTGCTATGCATTGTGGCAATGTGCACATTTAAGCAACGCACAACTGCATTCTGCAGCAGGAAGTGTAAGACTGCATGGTACTCGGAGGCTGAACCTAAAATGCCATTGGTATATTATTGTTCCAATGGGGAATCGGAACAACAGGTGTTGCAGAGGAAAGAGATATGGTGTGTTTGAGTGCCTGCTAATGTGGATATATAACTTGGGTTTCTTTGTACATGTTACAGGATCCAGAACCGGCTGCCTTTTAGCAGACGTACTGCTACAGGGATGCACAAAATCAGATGTATATATACGTGATATTGTTTTTCCGGTTAGGGTGGTGTGCGCACGCTCTTTACTTGCGCGGCTATTGGTTCTTTGGCATGTCAATCACCAGGTCCCGGCCACCAATTCTTGACCGGGATTTGGTGATTGTCGGCGGAGCTGACTGGGCAGAGGTCTGTATGTAAACACAGATTTGTCCCCTGACGGCACGAACAGGCTGCTTTGTATTGCTCTGCACTGCCTAGTAAATCTCACACAGCACACAGTTAACCCTTTGATCGCCCCAGATGTTAACACTTCCTTTCCAGTGTCAGTGCTTTTTATTAGCACTGATTACTGTATTAGTGTCACTGGGGATGTGAGTGGCAGTCAGTTCCCCCAAGTGTCAGAATGCCCACCACAGTCCTGCAATAAGTCGCTGATCTCCGCCATTACTAGTAAAAAAAAAAATATGAAAAAAATCCCAGTATCTATACCGCCATTTGTAGATGCTATAACTTTCACTTAAATCAATTAATTGACACGTATTGGGATTTTATTTTTAGCATAGACATGTAGCAGAATACATTTGGGCCTAAATTTATGAAGAATTTTTATTTTTTTTTATTTTTTTACCGAACATGATTTATAGCAAAAAGTCAAAAATTGTGTTTTTTTTTTTTTTTTGTTTTGTTTATAGTGCAAAAATAACAAACCACACAGGCGATCAAATACCACCAAAAGAAAGCTCTATTTTTGGGGAAATAATGACATAATTTCATTTATGTACAGCATTGCATGACCACGGAATTGTCAGTTAAAGTAACGCAGTGCAAAAAATGGCCTGGTCAGGAAGGGGGGTAAACCCTCTGGATGGCAAGTGGTTAAACAAATGATAAGCTGTGTTTTGCAATGTTCTGGGATCTGTTCAAGCCCTACATATTTTGTTGCAATCAAATGCTGACGCATTTTCTTTTCTATGACACTTTTATATTGTTACATGTTGGACAAGTTCATCTTGTTTACTGTCATACGTTATGGCCATTTATGAATTGACTAAATTTTATGTTTATATATTTGACTTCTAAAATGCCTCAAAATTGTCAATTAAATTTGTTGAGCAGAGAAGCAGCTATATATACTGCATATAGTTGGCTTTGTTCTCTTGGGGAGTATCGGTGCATGCCCTGTTTGAGGGCTGTGTTTACCCACATGGAGATGCACATGTTGTGTGCATCCTCGTACAACCAGCCACATTGATGTCTGTTGGGACGCAGAGGCTGCATGGACACAGCCATTGCTCCTAATATAACATACATGCAGGAGCATGGCACCAAGTGCACACTGTCTGCTGCGTTCGGGGCCGTGCACACGCCCAGATGTTAAATTGGGAGCAAAGGCTTTGTCCAATTAGACATTAATGGGACTGCCTGCACAGGGATGCATGTTTGCATCTCTATGCGGATAAACACAGCCCTTGCACTGGGCTTGATAATTCTCTGTGAGAGCTGAAAAGAAAAAGTAAATTCTTCCACAATTTATCTAACAGTATATTTGACCTCTGAATTCTCTAATATTTTAAATGAACAAAAATATACCCAATTCTCAGATGTGGGTTTTTATTTTGTTTTTTTTTTTTTTTCTTTTCTTTTTTTTTTTAAAAAGCTTTTCCCCTTAGTTTTCACCTGTTGATTTGGGCAGGAAGATTTTTCAACGTCTTTTAGCATTTTAGCAGACCTAGCTGTCCAGCAAAAGTGGCACTTAGAGGGTTCACACCAAGTCCATCTAATTCTCTTAGTGCATCTTAATACTACCCTCTCCCCAAATTGAGATTGCTGTTGTCTAAAGGAGTTTCCATTGCTCCTCCGGTGGAGGGGACACCCTTAAACAGGAAGTGAGAATAAAGGTAAACATGCTAAAAAAAAAAAAAAAAAAATGCAGCCACCATGTTTAAGGATTGATAAGTTGCAATATATTACAGTTTGATTCTTTGTTTTTCTGTAGTCATTTTAGACAAGAAAGGTTCCCTGCTTAGACCGAAAAATGAGTTGCAAATCCATGTGATTTTAGTGTTCCTAGCTATGACTTTGCCACCCACCACCCACTGGGTAACCTTTAAACATGTTTTCTTACTGAATTTTAAGTACAGTGCATTGCCATACTGTGCAGCATTCACTGGGACAGACCATTGTTTCTCTCCTGAAAGTATTTGTGTTTTCTTTGGAAATCTTTCATTAGCGTATTTTACTTGCAAAATATGTATCTTTACAAAGCTCAGATGAAATGCAGCTTTGCTGGGCTTTTAACTATTGTTTTGTTGTTTTGTAGCCTCTTTACAACCAGCCTTCAGACACGAAGGTTTATCATGAAAACATCAAGACGTAAGTATGCCTCAGTCATTCCCACACATTTGCACTCTATTGTAATTACCAGCAAATCAAGCAGGCAGGAAAATGCAGTCAGAGAGATTTCGGTAATGCGGGATAATGTGCACATGATTGCCTGCCAGAAAATGTCAGTAGTCAATAGTTAAAAGTGCTATAAGACACATAGGTGTGTGCAGAGCATGGTTTATACCTTTCTTGTAATGTACCTAAAAGCCTGGCTGTGTTCATTTCTGTTTACCAGCCAAATGCTGCAATGCAGATACTTTATACAACAGCAAAAAACTGGCGTGTTGGTTACCCCCATCTGCATACTTTTCCAGCGTCTGTTATCCTAGACATAAGCTTTGCTTTTCCAGATCTGCATGTTGCCTGTAATCACTTGCAGTCTCAGTGTATTTGACGTGTTCTTAAAGAAAATGTGTCAATTTTGTATGTGTTTTTTTTTTCTCAGCATAAATTTCCTCTAAAGTCATAAAGATATGTAAAGATCAGGCATTAATGCCACTCTCTACTATAAATTCTTCTTTTGTGCTCCAGGTGACCCTAAATCTGGGCACAGTTGGCATGTAATTAGTGGCATTTAAAGTGGACCTTCATCCTGAAAGACAATGTGTGTGTGAACCTGACTCCAGCCCTCTTTCTCCACCACAATTATATATTTTTATTTTTTCAAGGGCTTATTTTGTGTGCTGGGCAGCACTTCTTCCTTTCTTGCCTAGGCAAGAATGATTTTGTGCACGCATGCACAGGCTCTGCTGGGCTTCGGGACATCTGCATACGTGCAGGTTTTCATGCGCAAGCATGGCTTAATGGAGGACTGGGACCTCTCTTCCTGCACAGATACACTGTAAGGCTTTTCCAGTTCGAAAAAATACTCGGGTCATTTGGGGAAAAAACATGAACATATGGTCATGGGAGAAAAAAATGTTAGAAATGTTATTCGAATAATGAGAAACTCTTTCCTCTTTAAATTAATCGGTGATAATATGAACTTCTTTTGAAGACTTTGCAATAGGTGTCTGCATTTTCTTAGCTATACAGTCACTTGCAAATTTGTGTTCTTGTGTGTTTTTTTTTTTTTTTTGTTCTCATTATTTTGGGTTTTTAAGATATGCAACTAAAATGTACAATCCTAAAGAGTACACAGGTTATGAGCATATAGCAGTGCTGGTTCACATGTATGCGGATTGGATGTGAACTGCATCCAATCTGCATGACGTGAAATAACATTGCTGGATTGAAATAACATTGTGGATTCTGTTCAGTTTGAAATAGAGTCCCTGTCCAATTTCTGAGCAGTGCGGTCCAATTTAGGTGTGGATTACAGGCTATTGACTTCTGTGGGAACAGTTCCTAATCCGCATATGTGTGAAAAAGATAAAATCCTGACCTAATCCTGTCCTGAACCTCATGTAAACCTGACATGAACTGCTAAACAACTACTGTGTCAATTAGCTGTGAAACCGGAGCTTCAATCTGCACCGTACTTGTGTTATCAGTTCTTAGGTGGAAGTATGTGTAGTCTGGTATACATAAAAATAGACCTGTACATCAATAGCAGTTTCTTGTGCATTCAGGTACTTGTCCATACTCCCTATAGGGATACAGCAGTAGGCTATGAATTAACTCCCAGAACTGCAAAATAAATCAACTTCTCAATGTACTTTAGGATCCAAGACTACAAAATATTGGCAGTGTGTATGTCCCTAACATTGGGTATAGGGCTAAACAGGTGTTCTGATTGTTGAAAGCTGGAGGTGAACAAGAGGTGCCTTGGGTATGATGGTGTGCATCCTGGCTCTTCTGGAAAGAAGTGATAGAGATCAGAAAAGGTTCCCATAGAAGTCGAGATGGACGAGAAGAGGGTGTTGGAAGGGGGTGAGAACAGAAGAGTGTGAAGGGAGTAGAAGAGAGGGATCACAAAAGGACAGACTGTAAGAATTAGGGGATAATGGCGTATGGGCACAAGGGGATGAAGGGGAAGGAGAGTGGAGTAGGTTACTATTTGGACCATGTTTGCCCATGGGAGTCTCTCTCCTGTTAAGTGGGACCTGGCCATTAATGACAAGACCCCTGTAGGTCAAACCAAGTTTTGCCATTTTTCAAGTATAGAAATTAGCCAGAAATTCCCTTTGTTTGAGGTGGATGTCATTCATATGTATTTTGTCATTGTTGGCATACTCACACAGCAGCTGCATCTGATTGGATACATCCACTGTTCGGCTAACAATGGTGGAGAAGAATCTGGGAGTTCTGGTAGATCACAAGCTTAATAATGTCATGCAATGCCAAGCTGCGATTTCTAAAGCTAGCAAAACTCTCTCTTAAAAGAGGTATAGATTCCAGAGACAGATATCATTTTACTCTTGTACAGATCATTGGTAATACCTCATCTGGAATATGCAGTTCGGGTTTAAGCACCAATTCATAAAAAGAACATTGGGGAACTGGAGGAAGTACAGAGAAGGGCAACCAAACTGATAAGAGACATGGAGGAGCTCAGCTATGAGGAAAGATTAGAGGAACTGAATTTATTCTCTCGAGAAGAGGAGATTAAGGGTGGATATGATCAACATGTATAAATACATCAGTGGTTCATATAGTGAACTCGGTGTAGAGTTATTCACCCTGAGGTCAGCACAGAGGACAAGGAGGCACTCTTTACGTCTGGAGGAAAAGAAATGTAATTTCCAAACACGGAAAGGTTTCTTCTTCACAGTGAGAGCTGTGAAAATGTGGAATAGACTCCCTCAAGAGTTGGTTCTGGCCTGCTCTGTTGATTGCTTTAAAAAAGGCCTGGATTGTTTCTTAGATACACAGAATATAACTGGATACTAACATTCATAGGTAAAGTTGATGCAGGGAATTTCCGATTGGCTCTTGGGGGATCAGGAAGGAATTTTGTTCTCTGCAGGAGCAAATTGGATCATGCTTTGCTGGGTTTTTTTGCCTTCCTCTGGATCAACTGTGGGTATAGGATTATAACTTTTTTTTTTTTTTTTTTAAATAGTTGAACTAGATGAACTTTTGTCTTTTTTTCAGCCAGACTAACTATGTAACTATGTATTTTTGACTGGCTCCTTATTTTACTGACTAGCTTGATTTCTTGTTTGAGGTATATCCGGCGGGAGGGGCTAACAGGGCTGTCCACTAGTTTTGGCTGGTTCCTGATAAAAATGAACAGTGCATGACCAGCTTGAAAACCACCTCCAGTTTAAGCTCATATGATCCAAGTAGCATAACGTAGCTTTACAAGTGGTTTAATGTGTGTTTTTTTCCATAACTCCCGTTGAAGCCATTCTTTGCTTCATGTTTTATTTGAAAAAAAAATAGGTTTTTAGCACGCTAAACTATGCTATTGATATGCTTGATCAAGCATCATTTGCATTTTCTAAGAGAAATGTGTATATATTTATTGCTTTCTCAGTAAGTCTCTAATTTATAGGCAAAATTACACATCCTGTAAATGTGTGGAATATTCACTGTAGTGTGAGCATTTCAGCTGTTCTGAGTTCACAGTGAGCATGGTATATAAAGGGCTTTTCATAACATCAGTTGAACTTCTGGGTGCCTAATTATTATTAACAACAGTAGAAAGGAGTAGGTAGCTATTGCTCTATTGTTCCTTTTGGATAACCCATAGTACTCTAGGAGTCATGTGTGTTGTATTAAATGTTTATTTGTAAAACAGAGTTGCCTATATTTGTTAAAAAAAAAAAATGGAATACCTAAATTGACCTTGCCTCCATCTTCGTTATTCACTAACCCTCTACCCACTCTCTAGACTGCCATATTAAGAAAAAATTGTAAGGTTCGTCTTCTTCAAGATATAGATTTATACGAAGTAATGCCAGCATTCCTAAACAACTGGGTTTTACTGCTGTCACAAATCCTTTTTCTATGAATATACCGAATAAAGCACAGTGCTGCGCAACTTAAATATCTGAAGCACAATACACAAATATAAAGGTGAAAGTCATTTTTAAAAAAGCACTTTACAGACAATTAGACAGTATCATTTATAAAGTCCAAATAATAGTGCGATCCAATTAAAATGAATCCAAATGCACCATTATGTGCATGCATGTGAGATCTTGTGATAAACTCCAGTGCACGCTGTCTCTCCAGCACCTGTGAACAATGACTGCTCACCTCAAATACATTATAGTTTGGAAATAAATGCTCTCAACACAGGGTGGTTACTGTGGGGACACAGTAAAAGCTCCAAAGTGCCTCGTCCTAGTATTAACTATTGCAAATGACAATAAAAGCTTATGGACTTTATAGGCACTACAACAATGATTTGTAAAATATAACACTTTATTAAACATGCACAAACAATAGAACATACATATAAAAAATGATTACAGAATATATCCTAACCCTGTAGCATACTAAAAAAAAAAAAAATCAATGCAGATTCATAAACAACTAGTAAACCCCACAATCTCAAAGATATGCCACATCTCGGCAATAACTAAGATGGGGTGCTCTTTAAATAATGATAGTAATGGCTCAACATGTTTCGCTATAAGATTTCTGAATGAGAAATATAAAATTGCGTTGATAAATCAACATCTTATGTAAAATACTTGCCGTACACATATCAGAACAGATGGTAATAGAGCGGATATAATTCAAGATACATACAGTATCTCACAGAAGTGAGTACACCTCTCACATTTTTGTAAATATTTTATTATATCTTTTCATGTGACAACACTGAAGAAATGACACTTTGCTACAATGTAAAGTAGTGAGTGTACAGCTTGTATAACAGTGTAAATTTGCTGTCCCCTCAAAATAACTCAACACCCAGCCATTAATGTCTAAACTGCTGGCAACAAATGTGAGTACACCCTTAAGTGAAAATGGCCAAATTGGCCAAAAGTGTCAATATTTTGTGTGGCCAGCATTATTTTCCAGCACTGCCTTAACCCCCTTGGGCATGGAGTTCACCAGAGCTTAACAGGTTGCCACTGGAGTCCTCTTACACCCCTCCATGACTACATCACGGTGCTGGTGGATGTTAGAGACCTTGCGCTCCTCCACCTTCCATTTGAGGATGCTCAGTAGGGTTTAGGTCTGGAGACATGCTTGGCCGGTCCATCACCTTTATCATCCACTTCTTTAGCAAGGCAGTGGTCATCTTGGAGGTGTGTTTGGGGTCGTTATCATTTTGGAATACTGCCCTGCGTGGCCCAGTGTTCGAAGGGAGGGGATCATGCTCTGCTTCAGTATGTCACAGTACATGTTGGCATTCATGGTTCCCTTAATGAACTGTAGCTCCCTAGTGCCGGCAGCACTCATGCAGACCCAGACTCCCACCACCATGCTTGACTGTAGGAAAGACACACTTGTCTTTGTACTCCTCACCTGGTTGTCGCCACCACACGCTTGTGACACCATCTGAACCAAATCCGTTTATCTTGGTCTCATCAGACCACAGGGCATGGTTCCAGTAAACAATGTCCTTAGTCTGCTTGCCTTCAGCAAACTGTTCGCAGGCTTTCTTGTGCATCATCTTTAGAAGAGGCTTCCTTCTGGGATGACAGCCATGCAGACCAATTTGATGCAGTGTGCGGCGTATGGTCTGAGCACTGACAGGCTGACCCCCCCCCCCTTCAACCTCTGCAGCAATGCTGGCAGCACTCATACATCTGTTTCCCAAAGACAACCTCTGGATATGACACTGAGCACATGCACTCAACTTCATTGGTCAACCATGACGACAGGCCTGTTTTGAGTGGAACCTGTGCTGTTAAACCGCTGTTTAGTCTTGGCCACCGTGCTTGCGCTCAGTTTCAGGGTCTTGGCAATCTTATTAAAGCCTAGGCCATCTTTTTATGTAGAGCAACAAGTCTTTTTTTCAGATACTCAGAGTTCTTTGCCATGAGGTGCCATGTTGAACTTCCAGTGACCAGTATGAGAGAGTGAGGGCGATAACATCAAATTTAACACACCTGCTCCCCATTCACACCTGAGACCTTATAACACTAACAAGTCACATGACCTCGGGGAGGGAAAATGTCTAATTGGGCCCAATTTGGACATTTTTACTTAGGGTGTACTCACTTTTGTTGCCAGCGGTTTAGACATTAATGGCTGTGTGTTGAATTATTTTGAGGGGACAGCAAATTTACACTGTTCTACAAGCTGTACACTCACTACTTTACATTGTAGCAAAGTGTCATTTCTTCAGTGTTGTCACATGCAAAGATATAATAAAATATTTACAAAAATGTGAGGGGTGTACTCACTTCTGTGAGATACTGTACATCTGCACATAGGCAATGGAGATATCACCATCTGAAGAAGGCCAATCAATTAGGGGATCCCACCAACACCAAAGAAGCGGACCGCACACTCTATAACAGTACTTGGTGCGTAAATAGCTATATGAGGATTGATGATGGTATAGTAAGGCCCTGCTAAATGGTTGATACCAATTATAAATCGAGGAATAAACTAACCTCCCCATTATTTGAACATAATAGGGTCTAGAGGGGCCAATATTGTGTATAAGGATCTGTACAAAAAACACAGAAGGAAAAAAGGTAAATAATGGTTTGATTTGTGGGGCATAAAGGCCCCAATAGTCCCCAGCTAAGACCCCGGTCTTGGAAAACTGGTAAAATAAACAATAAAGGGAAGAAGGCCCCGGAAGATGGCTGGTTATGATGAAACGCGTCGGGTGGAGCCTCCCTTGTGACGTCATTGCATTGGATTGCCATTTTGGACCATCTTTGTGGATTGATGCTTTTTATCCTTTGCGTTTGTAAGTGTATTTTTGTCTGTTTAATAAACCAGTTGTATTTGATTGACTGCACTATGAGAGGCACATCTTTATTTTGTATGAACAAACATTGACCCTTCAAATCAGAATGGCTTGATGAGTCTTGGGCGGTGCATTTGATTCCATATAAGACACAAGAGTCTGGATAATATATACTGAGCTTGTGATGACCTCCTATAGTGAAGGGATCTATAGATCTGGTAAGCCTCCGATTTGATAGTACGGTGGTGGCTATTCACGTTGGTGGTTATGTTGGAATGAATATTACTCACAACTTAACACAGATATTAGGGGACTGGTTTACACTCTATGGACTGTTTCTGATGTGCTTTTAATTTTTTTTTTTTACTTTTTGAGTGCTGTTCATTTATGTAGTATTGTATGTATATTAACATATTGTTTACAATTGATTGTTCTTACTTAGCGCAGTACAAATGTATATCTTTGTTATGTACTATATATGTTTGTGCATGTTTAATAAAGTGTTGCATTTTACAAATCGTTGTAGTGCCTATAAAGTCCATAACCTTTTCTTCTTCATTTGCACCACAAATACATGAGCCATGAATAAACAGTAAAGTCAAAATGCGGTTGCCCATCTAAAGGGTTAATACGTGACTTTCTGGGATACTTTTTCTTTCTCCTCCTCACCAGGCATGGAAATGCATTGACATGGACTTTAAAAAAAGAGCCACTAGTGTTCTGCATTTTAAAATATATTATTATGGCTCAAGAAATAAAATGACATTTGCAAGATCCAGCACTAAAACCAGTGCTCAGTATAAGTGTTTTAAACACAAACAGATCGGCATTCAGCCACATGTAAGATGGCCGTGGGAGACTCCTACTGAAGAAATCCCTGCCTTAGAATATAGCGCGTATAGAGGGCGGAGCCCAGATTGTGATGATGTCATCCTACAACCATCTGACATGCAGTTGAATAACAGCAAACTGACCTGTGTGCGGCCATTGTTCACGGGTGCTGGAGACAGCGTGCACTGGAGTTTATTTATCACAAGATCTCACATGCATGACCTTCACTTTATATTTGTTTATCGTGCTTCAGATATATAAAGTTGTGCTGCGCTTTTATTAGATATATTTGTACGGTATAGTGAAATCACCGTGTTTAGCCTGCAACTTCTTATTTATATATTTGTATATTTTTGGCTGCTGATTGATTCTCTATATTTGTTTCTCTGATTAGACTCTGATGTATTGATATTATCCGAGTCCTATTTTCTGGGACTGCGGAAAGAAACCTGGGAATTCTCGGAAATAGGGAAAACGTAGAAGCTCAGTACAGATATTGTTCTTGGTGGAAATTGACTACAGGATTCTGGACCTGCAAGATAATAGTTCTTATCCACCATGCCGTCTATTTTAATAGATTGTAATTAGCATTTATATGCACTTTAGAAAACTGTGTGTGAATAACCTATTTTCCAAAGAATAAAATATTTAAATTGCCTTCTCTATTAAGTATCTATCACACATTCTTTCTAATCTCATTGGTTCTCAGTTTGATGGTTTATTAGGTATACACATTAATCTTTTATAGCTGTGAAATTAGTTTCTACTAAGTATTACAATATTCTAATTAGACCAAATTGAATTCTAAATTTATCTTGTTCCTCTCAAAGGCTATGCTTTCCGTTGAAGAAAAATTTCTTTGTAACATTCTCAGCAGAAACATTTTTAGTTTTCCATTGTCTATGTAATTAAATTAAGAATGTTCTCTGAAATGTAGTGCATCTTACCACAAAGTGCATGGTAACCCACCACACTAAAGCCAACACACCTGAATTAATTGATTCGGCTGGATTCTAATTTCCCAAGTAATGTCATATTGCTCTTTTTATTTTCAGGAATCAGGTTATGAGGAAGAAGCTGATCTTATTTTTCAAGAGAAGAAATCATGCTAGAAAACAAAGGGTTTGTATATCTTATTTAAAATTTGCAAAGACTTCCAGTGCACCCCCATCTTTGCTTTCATCAAGGATTTCCTGGCGCCTTTATTGCCTTTTTTTTTTTTTAACCCCTTAATGCAGGCTCCTCCCTGCTCTTTAAGAAATTTCTGATGGCAGAGGGATTACAAGCAGAGATCAGGAGCTTTCTGTTAGCCTCCGGTGACTGTGCTGGGAGCACGCAGGGCATGCGCTCTCGGCACAGTTGTGTATACATTCTGGTACGCATTTATGCAGCCTCTTGGCGTGAAGGCCCACATACCAAGAGGCCGAATACATGCATACTGGCGCAAAGAGTTTAAACGGGACCTTTCATGACTGTATGACTTGTTGGAGTACATTAGCGGACATGTTCTCTTGTTTACAGGAACAGAACATTTGTCAACGTTACGATCAGCTGATGGAAGCTTGGGAGAAAAAAGTGGATAGAATAGAGAACAACCCACGGAGGAAAGCAAAGGAGAGCAAAACCCGTGAATACTACGAAAAACAGTTCCCAGAAATTCGAAAACAGAGGGAACAGCAAGAGAGGTTTCAAAGGTATGTCCTGCCACTTACACACAAAGGAAAGTCAAAGGATACCTTTATTGTCTTTTTGCATACATAACAGAACCAGGATATGGTTGCCTTGACCTAACTTTTATACCACATCTTTTCATACCCGCAAAGTATTTGTGTAATTAGGCTGGTAAATTCTATGTTTCTAAAAAATGTTGGTGTTTGCATCCTTGGCCACAGGACCAATGTCTACCATCATTAGATTGTTCATGGTTTGTTTTTCTATTGCTGTTGATTTTGGGAAAGGCACACACTCCTTTGCTGTGTTTTTACTTGAAGCAAAACCATATAGTATGTTGGGAGTGGGCTAAGGCCTCATTTACATTTGAGATGAGGGCCATCAGTGGGTTCTGTTGCAAGAATCTGCGGAGTTCTGTGTATGCGAACAGCTGCGGACGCTCGGCCTGTACAAAGTAAGGCACTGCAGCTGTGCTGTGCTGTTTGCATGTATCCACACATCGATGACAGGCCGCAGATGCAGACAGATTGGTAAGAAACTTGTGTGTGTGTGTTTGTATATGTGTGTGTGTATATATATATATATATATATATATATATATATATATATATATATATATATATATATATATATATATATATATAAAAAACGGAGACCTAATGTTGGCCATACAAATGACAACCAACTCTTTTAACCAACTTCTGAACAAATTAAAAAAACTTCCATTACCTGTGCCCTATAAATGTAAATATATTAATGGTTGCTAGAACATTGCTCAATGCGTTAAGCTGGCTGAAATGTGAGCCTTAGGTATCCCTGTCACCACCCCTCTGCTCTAAAAAGTCAGTTTTTAAAAATCCACTGAATTGGGTGGAACCTTATCACCCTTAGCAGTGATTACATCTAATCAGATGCAGTCACTGTTGGGATATTTAGGTAGACAAGGGTGCTGACTTACTTACCTGAGATAGCTGAATACAAGGGCTGGCATTGGAGATTCCTTCATCCACTCTGGTTAGTGTATTTCTTCTTGTCCATCCCGTGGGCTGAACAAGTGAAATCTAGCGATGTTTGCGTAGCTTTAAATTAGTTTATGTCTGATCCTGATTAAATTGGTAGGAGTGAGTATCAGTTGTTATGTACATGCTGAAAGGGATTTTGGTTGGATTGTCTTTTGCTATATTGTTCTGAAACCTCTGAAGGAAGCATGGTTAGGAGTGTCTGCAGAGCCTAGACATTCATGCTTGTACGGTATATGCATTCATGTTTATGTTCCTGTCTGGCAAATGAAATCTGTTGTTTACAGGTTGTTTAATTTCTGATTGACAAGCTGGGTATTCAAAACAATGATATTATGACATGTATGCCTTTGTATAAATGGATGCTTGATTGCTGTAATATATTTTACCCTATGTGATGTATGATAGTGTAAGATTATGTTTTCACTATGTGTATCATGCAAAGGAAATGACGGAATGATTTATTTCAGAGTCGGTCAGAGGGGTGCTGGTCTATCCGCAACCATTGCCAGGAGCGAACATGAGATCTCGGAAATCATCGATGGTCTGTCTGAGCAGGAGGTGAGGTCATTGTAAAGTCTGTTTTAGGTTTAATGTTATCAGTAAATCACAAGTTAATTTCTTAATGAAACTCTTCAAAGCATGTTATTGCCTTTGGCTAGTTGGCTTCCTCTGTTCATATGCCAGCTGAGTCTTGAATCTGAAAAGGCTCTAATTTGGATCAGTTTTTTTCCATGTTGTGTGTGTCTCTTTGAAATGTAGCAGAAAGTCTGGACATGCTGTACATTTTAATTACCAGAATCCATGAAATGGCAAATCAAACTATTGTGCTTCATGCATATCTTAAGTAAAATCTTTTCTCAACTGCAGTAATTAAGAGACATATGGCCTAGGCTTTTTTTGGTCATACTACTCTTGTGGCTCACAGGAGTCCACTTTTGGTTTCCTGTGACCCAGAATCAGCCTACAGTGGGCTTAAACCCCACTGTCCGCCGATATCACAGAGCTACTCCAGGCTCTGCAAGTGTCTTGACCATATTGTTGGGTTCAACCCAGCTGCCTTATTGACAGCTGGCTCCAGCACGTGGCTGAGGGCTGAAGCTAGCTGCACCCACCAGTCTCCAGCCTGGCTTCCCAGTGAATGCTGGAGGGGCAGAGTGGAGAATGGTGTAAATGTAAGTTCTAGGTGTTAACCTAAAAATAATCTGTTTTAAAAAGAGCTCTCTTTGCAGCTACCAGCTTCTTTAGAAGTTTTCATTTTCCCCAATCTGCTGATCCATGAGTTTCACTATTTTTTGAAGCAAACACAGAGAACAGTATGCAGATTGGTAGTTGAGACTCAAGTTGCTGCACATTTTTTCTGGCTCAGTGACTCACTGAAGAGTGAACCTGGAGGATCAGCCTTACAACACAAGAACCACCAAATTCATGGAGATATTGGCAATGATTGTGCAGGCATGTTTTTTTTTTTCCCCCTTAAATGATTTAGTGGTATACAGCGGATATAATAAGAACTGTAACTTCACAAAACACAAAGGCAATACAAAAGATCAGTTACATTAACTAAGCGCCAATACAGCACTCTATAAACAGAACCACCCGTGATAACCGAGCAAGAGAGAAATGGTAAGTGGGCAATTGTCTGCAATGTGGAGGTTATATTGGTTTGGGACCTCTGATAGCACTGTCAATGGAAGACAAAGGAGGGCCCTTCTAGCGGTCACAAAGAGGTGAGGTAACCTGTCAGTATCTGAGCATACAATTTTTTTTTTATGGAAAGAAAAAAGGTGTGAAAAAGAGAGAGGAGAAATAGTGGGAAGAGAAATGAAGAGGGGGGGGGGGGGGGGGGGGGGCTGTATTTGGTAGGGAAAGAGGGAAGGGTTATGGGGAGGAGGGAGGGAGTGGGGAAAGAGGTAGGAGTGGGAAGTGGGGGAGAGAAAAGTCCCTTTCAGGGAGCAAAGAATAAAAGGACAGAGCAGGCAGCACAAATCATAGGTGCACTGGTGAGTCTACGCGTATTGGAGAAATTTGTCAGAGAAGTGGAAAAGATCCCAATAGAACCACCTGTTTTGCTTTCCACCGATTTATCTCTGAGCTCAGCAGTCAGGTTCTCCATCTTTTCAATATCATCTGCTCTTGCAAGCCATTGGGCCACTGTGGGATGAGACTGTTGTTTCCATTGGCTTGGTATACAGGCCCTGGCAGCATTAAGAAGATGTTTGAGGAGGGATTTGTGATGACATTGCAGTAGGGTTTAGAAGGACAGCGGCAGGGTCATCCCTTAATGGAGTATCTGTAAGTTTATGTACAAGTTGAAGTACAGGTTGCCCGAAGGTTTGGAGTTTGGGACATTCCCAGAAGATATGCTGGATGTTGTTCACAGTGCCAGCATTGGTCAGATTGGTTGGGAAAAAGGTTTGCAAGGATTGAAGGGGTCCTATACCAGCAGGTTATGATTTTGTAAGTGGTTTCTTGGTACTTGCTACAAAGGGAAGATTTCTGTGCAAAGAAGAGGATACAGTCCTTTTTGGGTTCTGTGAAGGTAACTCGTAGGTCCCTCTGCCATTTCATTAGAAATGGTTGGTCCGTAGCAGCGTGGAAGGTCAAGGTTTTATATGAAGCTGAGTGACCCACGAATCGAGCCTTCTCTTAGGCAGAGTTTTTCAAATGGTGGAGCTGTCGATGGAAAAGTAAAGGTTTTTGTAGAGAACCCAAAAAATAGGAGAGTTGAGCAGTTCTTCATAGATCAAGCACAAGAGGTTTCCGGTTAGTTATAGTCTTAATAGGAATCCATCCAGAGGATTGTAAGAAATGAGAGTCCTGTGGGGCCTGCGAGTGGAAAGAGGGGTCCATCAGGCTTGGGGTGAATCCCAGGTGGCTCACGATCAGGGACATGGGAGAGGGAAAAATAAGGTAAAGATGGAAGAACCTATCCAGTTCACTCAGCATGGGGCCGATAATTATCGTTTATAAGTGGATGTGTAAACGGGTGCGCTGTGTGGGGACCTTCCTGCCCAGGGCAGTCCCGCTAACGGTGCACCAGCTGCCTCTTGTTCCAATGGTACCCAGAGTTTCAAGTCACCATTACGGCACAAGTCCACCACTTGGATCATACATGTTGTTGTGTAGTACAAAGCAGGATCAGGAAAGCCTATTCCACCTCTGAGCTTCGGTCACAGTAAAAATTCTCTTCCAATGAATGGGTGCTTACTCCGCCAGACAATACTGCGTGAAAGAGAGCCTGGTGACTGGTAGAAACTTGCAGCAAGCACAAAAGTCTAAGCATGGCGTTCATTTTGAGGACGTTACAGCGCCCAAACCAAGAGAGAGCAAGAGATTCCCATTTTTGGAAATAAGGGTGAAGATTCGTTAGACGAGAATCGGGTAGTAAACATTCAGGGCCTCTGATTTTTGGAGGTTAACATTAAACTTGGATAAGGACCTGTGCCTCTTCAGTTCTTGCGAAAGTGATGGGAGAGATATAAGAAAATCGGCTGTGTAAAACAAAATATTGTCCGTGTATGCTGCTACTTTTTGTTGATAGTGTCCTGCATGAATGCCACTGATATTGGGATGGTCTCTGACATGTAGCAAGGGTTCTAAGGAGAGAGCAAATAATAATGGTGAAAGGGGGCATCCCTGTCTTGTCCTGTTAGAGATGGGAAAGGGATCAAAATCAAATCCATTCACCTTGACTGTAAGGTTAGTGTAAGATTAGTGTATAAGCCCACAATCCATGTCTGGACAGGTTGTGGCATCCCCACAGCCTGATGCATCTTCCTGGGAAATGTCCAATCGACCCTATCAAAAGCCTTGGCATCGGTAAACAAGAATAGGAGGGGGGTGCGAGATCTCTTCACAGTCTATAATTTTCAGACTACATACAGTGGGGCAAAAAGTATTTAGTCAGCCACCAATTGTGCAAGTTCTCCCACTTAAAAAGATGAGAGAGGCCTGTAATTGGCATCATAGGTAGACCTCAACTATGAGAGACAAAATGAGAAAAAAAATCCAGACAATCACATTGGCTGATTTGGAAAGAATTTATTTGCACATTATGGTGGAAAATAAGTACCGTATATACTCGAGTATAAGCCGACCCGAATATAAGCCGAGGTACCTAATTTTACCACAAAAAACTGGGAAAAACTATTGACTCGAGTATAAGCCGAGGGTGGGAACACCAGTGGGAAGAATCGTGCCTCATCATTGGTGTCAGTGGGAGGAATAGTGCCCCATCATTGGTGTCAATGGGAGGAATAGTGCCCCATCATTGGTATCAGTGGGAGGAATAGTGCCCCATCATTGGTATCAGTGGGAGGAATAGTGCCCCATCATTGGTATCAGTGGGAGGAATAGTGCCCCATCATTGGTGTCAGTGGGAGGAATAGCGCCCCATCATTGGTGTCAGTGGGAGGAATAGTGCCCCATCATTGGTATCAGTGGCAGGAATAATGCCCCATCATTAGTATCAGTGGGGGGAATAGCACCCCATTATTGGTGTCAGTGGAATAGTGCCCCATCTTTGGTGTCAGTGGGAGGAATAGTGTCCCATCATTGGTGTCAGTGGGAGGAATAGTGTCCCAACATTGGTGTCAGTGGGAGGAATAGTATCCCATCATTGGTGTCAGTGGGGGGGTGGAGGAATAGTGCCCCATCGTTGGTGTCAGTGGGGGGGAGGAAAAGTGCCCCATCGGTGTCAGTGGGGGGGAGGAATAGTATCCCATGATTGGTGTCAGTGGGGGGTGGAATAGTGCTCCATGATTGGTGTCAGTGGGGGGAGGAATAGTGCCCCATCATTGGTGTCAGTGGGGGGGGGGGGGGGGAGGAAATAGTGCCCAATCGTTGGTGTCGGTGGGGGGGGGGGGAAAAGTGCCCTATCGTTGGTGTCAGTGGGAGGAATAATGCCCCATCATTGGTATCAGTGACACCAATGATGGGGCACCATTCCTCCCACTGACACTTGCTGACCCCTGTTCCAGTATGGTGCTGCTGCAGCCAGCATATGTGGTTGCAGCAGCACCTAAGCACGGCACACTTACCTGCATCCTCGCTGGTGATTGGCCGCCTGTGTGCCTTTCCTGAGCTACAGTTCTGGCGGCCAATCACCGGTGAGAAGGCGGAGCCGAGCAGCCGCGCGAACATCCAGTGGACGAACCGAATGAAGGAGCAGACCGCGCTTCCTGGACCGGATCGTCGTGGGACCGGAGCCAGGTAAGAGACAGCAGCCCCCCCTGCAGACGTTGACTCTAGTATAAGCCGAGGGGGACGTTTTTCAGCACAAAAAATGTGCTGAAAAACTCGGCTTATACTCGAGTATATACGGTATTTGGTCACCTACAAACAAGCAAGATTTCTGGCTCTCTCAGACCTGTACCTTCTTCTTTAACCTCTTGCCGACCGCGCATAGCCGAATGACGGCTTCACCGCGGCTGGCCGGCCAGTTCTGAGTGGACGTCATATGACGTCCTCCCAGAACGCGCTCTCCTGCGCGCCCCAGGGGGCGCGCACCCGGCGATCTCTGTGATCGCTGTGTCCTATGGACACAGCTGATCACGTGA